CCGCTTAGTAGCCGGAAGAACCTACTTTCTGGGTTAATCAGCTACCAGGTGGAATCCCCTAGCCAACATTTAATTAATAAAATTATTTATTATTTATAAAGATAGTTAAAATATAGTATATTTAAGTATTTTGAGTTTTCCTATTTTTTTTATAATTTAATATTTTATTAATATAGTTTTATTACCTTTATAATTACTTTAAAATCTTAATTAATTTTATCTTCTCTCTTTTAATTTTACCAAGTCTAACATTTATTATAATAATTAATTATATATTCAACATATTTAATTATTTAAATATAAATTTATTCTTTTTAATAAATCTCATATTAATTATATTTTAATAATAATATCTCCTGTAATAATAATAATAGTTATAATTATTATACTATTAGTTCTTTTAATAAATCAGCTTTATATAAACTGTAGATAAGTATATTTCTGTATATATTAGTTTACTACTTAGAGCTTAGGACTTGACAATATATACCAGGGTATGATATTAACCCTTTGGATGCCTATATATAAATAGACACAAGAAAACGTAGAACTGTGCTGTAAATTACCATAGAGATACTATCTATAATATTTAATTTTAAGTATGTCAGCTGATCTTGCTGCGATAATCGAACACAACACAATGCCTGGATACTAGTCCCTGGTCAATTTCGGATCAGTACCAACCAAACAAGAAAACCAAGGAGCCCCCAAGGAGATATCAGGGTATGACTAGCCGCATATGTTCTTATGTACAAAAACCAATTGTTATAAATAATTTCCCTTACTGAATCGAGAGCCGAAGTCAGCGGCCTTATTAATCACCTCCCGACGTTGTGAGTTGGTTATCTTAGAGGAGATGGCCATATCCTTTTCTTTATCAAAGGGGCGAGTGCTAGGATCGTCCTCATTGCCCTTTTTACACGGCTGAAGAGGTTGTGATACATTTCCAGCTGCATTAGATTTCTGTTTTTTATCCTGGAATTGGTAAGCGTAGACCAGCAATAAACTGCAGCGCTTGCCATAACTTACGTTGTACTTGTGGATTCTCTCCTGCATAGCCTGTGATAACCTGGCAGGTCGAGTTACTTGACCATTGTATGTACCAAGTGTGCCTGTGCTGACACCCATGACTTTATCTTGTAAACGTTTGATTTTTTCCTCTGGTGTTTCCGTCCAAGACGAATCTATTCCTCCTGATTGGGAACTCGGTGCCGATCTTCCACTTTGAAACTTTCGACTTCTTAATTTAGTTGGATCCACCCTTGAAGCCCTTCCAGTTGAGTCTGGAGGCAGTACCATCCACTCATCTCGTTGACTTCGATCCTCGCAAGCATGATTTTGCTCAGTCAACCGCCCTTTCAGAGTGTTGCTATGTATCTTGGCATTAACTAGTTCAGTTTCCATATCACCTGAAGGAGGTAAACTTGGACCGATGTCATCGTCATCACTGCTCTCATCTTCGCCCTCAGGTGTGTGATCCTCTGCTGGATTTGCTAAAGGTAACGTTGGTCCGACTATCCTTCGTCGTTTATCAAAATTGTCAACACCATATTCAGGATATGGTGTCGGCTGCTCAAATTTTCGTTTTTCGCTTTGATCCATCGCATGAAAACAGTGCAGTTGACAGGGAAGGAAGGAGCCCATTCAGGGCAGGCCCATTCATATTGTGTTTATCTTGATATATAATTATGTAATCATTTAAAGGATAATGTAATATGTAGGCGAGCGGGCCACACAATCAGGCGGGCCACCACGCGTTATTTTTATATATGTATTTTTTTAAAGCTATTTAACTACCAGCTATACTACTAAAAATACGTAAATTTTTTAAAATTAAAATAGAATAAAAAAGGAGAGTTTTATTATTAGTATTAAGTATTAAAAATAATAATATCAGTAATATTTATAAAGTTATACATATTGTTAATATATTATATACAATATTATAAAACTATCTAGTAAAATATATATTTTAATTAGATTTATATATAAATAATTATAAATTACCTATTAATAAAACAAAATTGTGCAAAAATAAATTATATTGTTAATTTATATAAAATAATTTTATAATTTATATATATAAAAAAAAAGCTAGTATTCTATTTTTGAAATATAATATTATATCTTTTTCTACTACTATAAAAAGAAAATATATAC